AGAAACAAGAGGACGCAGAATTTGTTTTATTGCTTTGTTTCAAAATTGGGTTCGTTCAATTACAAGTGCATTCGAAAAAGTTTATGAAAAGTTTGAGGCGCTGAAACAATGAATAAACGCATGAATATAAGAAACAAATAAAGACTGCTTTAAGTATAACATATTTCATCTTATATATATATAGATCTTAATTGATTGAATGGAGAAGTGAAATGTTCCCGAATCCATTTGAACTGATGATAATCAGTTGTTTTCCTTTAAATGACCCATATAATCTGAAACGAATTAATTCCTTACGAAAACGACAATAACAATAACAAGACTGACGTGAATTTCATTGACAACCGCCACTGTTTCCGCATTTCAACGAAAATCGTTTCACTAATAACAACTTTTCTTTTTCTTTCAAGCATACGCTTCATTAATTCATGCTTAAGATTCATAATATTCTAACTGAACGTTTCTTAACGAGGCGATTGGTGATTCAGATTTTTTGATACTAATATTTCTCAATGTGCCCACGTCTACGTTTCCCTCTAGTGCACGTCGCTAAAGTTTCGGCGCTTTATGCCCTCATCATGGAACGAGGAACTAGAAACACTTATTTTTAGCAACTTGTTTTTATGTGTCTAGAGCAGTGGTTCTGAGCCGTTTTTTTTCATCGACATCCCTCAAAGAAAATTTCGAGATGTCCTCGTACTCCCTACAACAATTGTTAAAATGTCCTCGCACTCCTCACAATATCTCTCATCCACTACAATAAGTATCTGCAGTGTAGATAAGTGTATGTATGCCATTACAGTACGTTGTAACGTTTTGAAAAATGCATACGTTAAAGTCTAACCTCGCCTAATTTATATGCATGCATGCGTTGAAATCCGCCCTCACCTACAATAAGGTATAAAAAGTGGAATTTTATCCCCGCACCCCTTAGAATACTCTTGTGCACCTCCAAGGGAGAGCATCGCTGGTTGAGAAAGCCTGACCTAAAGTAAAATTCTCAACATAATCTTAATGTAAATCTTAAGATTCACTTCGACTAAACCAGTTAGTTCATTTAGGATGAATGGCTGAATGCATGCAAAAATAACTTATCAGTATTCATCGTTTTTTTTTACTGTGGAGAGGGGTCAATTCGCTGAACACTGGTGCACACCACATCGTTGATCAAAAAGCGCTGATTCTGATCGGTTCAGTAAACATCCATCATGATGATGCTGTTATAAACTTCAATAGTAAGGCACTTTCAAGTGCATCAAAGGTGACACACAAACAAAGTTCGATAAGCTAATCTGATCCACTTTCAAGCTAAAATACAGTCAGATATCAACAAAACAATTCTGACGATCCCGGTCACTCGTCATGTTCAATATGCTAGTGTGATGCGGGTAATTTCGAGGATTCGTCTCCGAAAATCCCCGATTTTCACCGTCCCCGACTTTTTTCAGCCACTGACATTTTAGTGGAATCTGAATGTTCCCTAGTCTCGACTTTTTTCCTTCAACGCACGACACCAGCAATATACCACCTGCGGTCATATGAAGACATAAGCGCAAACTGAGAAAGACTATATAAACATGCGTGTGCTAGCAGAANAATTGGACAAGCTACTGTGATTGAACGCTTGAAACTTTTTCTGCATATATCATCATTTCGTGGAGATTCTTGGTTGGATCTAACAAAATTTATTCAAACTGAAATTACTGAGAGATTCATTCTTAAGTTATGCACATCTGTTTATCACTCTCCGCCACCATAGTCCAGTGAATTTTCATCATTATCAGATTGATATCGTCGTATTAACTCGCTGAAAATATGCTGTTCGCCAATTTTGTTTTCGCCGAAGGAATTCGTTTTTTTCCCCATTTTCATTTCGTTCTTTTGATTTGAATGTCACAACTCGCAGTTTTCGATAACGTGAACTTGGTCTCATAAAAAACATCTCAAATAAATACTCCCAAACGAGCAAAAACTGTCGTCTCGCTGGTGTTCTCACGCACCAGTCTCATCGAAATCAAGTTCAATGCCAGAAACGAGACGAATGAAAGCCATTCGACGAAGTAAATAAAACTCTCATCTAAAACCATAAATTTTACATCAATCAAATTGTTAAATTTCCTATAAGCGATGTGGTTCTTCCACCAGTGTTTAGCAGCGTTGGTCAAAGAACACGACATCACAGATTTATTCAGCTGAACTAACGATGTAGTTCTTTTCAAGGCCATCCGATTCAATGAAGAATCACTTTATTTCGAGAGTTTGACAGTTTGCGAAGTGCTCTATTTAGGTCTCATCGGCTTGAATGAAGCTCGATTTCAAATTTTCAAAGCACTCAAGCTCACTCATAGGTTTAGGTTCGTGTTTAGAATTACTCCTAGAAGGACTTATGCCTATAACTGCTGCATGCGCACAGGATTTATAGATTAGCATTTTGGAAGGATAAGTTTTATTCGAACAGCAGCAAATTAAGGAATTTGCTATTGGCCATGACCGTTCAAACTACACTAGAGTCTATGGCATATCGTACGCCCAAAATTGCCCTCCCACGTTCTTCTCCGCCCAAGTGATGATAAAATATTCAGAAATNTCGTCAGAAAATCATTTTATTGATCCGTTCTGGTGATCGACAAAATACCGATCAATCAACAAAATCAGACATATATCCTTCATCCATTTCAGCCCTTCACCGATCTCATCCGTTCAGCAATCAGCGTGTCGACCGTCGTATGATACGTACTTAACGATGCGTTTCATTCATTACGCCCTTGTATGTCATTTCAGTTAAATGTTTCATTTTTAAACTATAATATAATTGTTTGTTTATCAAAAAATGAGCTATTTGACTGATTTTATTCACTCAACTTTGGAATGTCGAACAATTGGAAGTGAATTTCTTTCGGAAGGATTATGGTGAATT